AGAGCACCAGATCGTCGCTCCGGGTCTTCCAAAGACTGCAGTACCCATAAGGGAGCCGTACACATGCCGCAGTTTTTTGCGTGGCTGTGTCTTTAGTTGAAAGCCCAGTGGCGATCTGTTCATCTGTTATACTGATCATACAGTCAATAACTTTGTTGTTATTAGCATCTGGTTAGCTAGCTATGCTAACGAATATAAGAAGCTTTTTCTACAACCAGTGAAGTAAAGGCACATCTTTATATTATCATTATAGTTATAAAAAAATAACAGAATAAAGTAAACAGGTATAAAATACTATATGACAGTAAAAAAAAGTTGTTATTAATAAACAAGAATACAGTTTGAAAGGAGTGATTTGTAAAATATCCATAAAGAAAAAGAAAATCTGCTTACAGTTCTGTTTCATATGTGTTGAGAGATGTATCCATAGATCTCTTCATGTTGCTCTCAAAGTGCACCAGATTGATGCTTTTAACTTCAACATTTAAAAAAAAATCTTCCCGGGGAAGCATGCCCCCAGACCCCCCTAGAGGAGTTATCATGTCCACATGGATAGGAAACTAAAGTTAATTTGCACACATCTTGTGTCCATATCTTTCTGTTTTGGTGGCCACCTGCTCATAAGGAGCCCTATATATTCACACACAGACGCACTGGCTCTCTGATTGTAGGACGACTGTTCTACCTCCTGAACCAGGCAGGTGTTAGAGAGATCAGCAGAGAGATGTCTGCTTTCTCCTCTATTTAATACAACTCAATTGCTCTTGGCTTGTGGGGTTTAAAGCCACACAAAATACATTTTAACATGTCCACAGCCATGTCTCTCTTCAGAAATCATGACCCTGTCACAAATGATAATCCTTGCTAAGACCTTGTTTTGAACAGTTTTATGTAGGAACTATTTCCTTTTTAAAGAATGTACATGCTTGATAATTAACATTATGCTGCTTTAATGCTTTCTCTTTACATATACAGTACATATCCAAGAAATAATAATCATAATTCCAAACGTGTTATATATTATATGCTCCTTGTGTGACTGGCAGGTGGTTACCAGGCCAGAGGAAATGACATTTCCTCTGGCAGGAAAAGCCTTGGTTCTGAAGTTTTGTTTTTCTCTCTTGAAGCTGTGCTTCCTTAAACAAATATAATGTCATTTTGTTTGTGCTAATGTTCCTCTGAAGTGTGCTGCTGTCAGCTGGTGGATGATCACTGTGTCGTTTTGTTTCAGAGTGCGGCTGCAGCTCTTCAGGACTCAGAGGATGGGCTGGGGAGTCAGGGCCATGCAGGATATCCCACAGGGAACCTTCGTCTGCGAGTGAGGACAGGCCTACACCAAATTCATTGTTTTACAGCAATACTGAACCGCAGCTCTAATATCCCCCCCCCCCATCTTTCCACAGGTATGTCGGAGAGATCATCACAGATGCAGAGGCCGATAAAAGAGAGAATGACTCTTTCCTCTTCACCCTCGATAATAGGGTGATTAACTCGGTTTAATGAATGTTAAACAGCTGCACTTGGCTGGTATGAGACATGATTGCATGAAAGTGTTAACTTGTCATTGTGTGAGGTAAGAGAAGAAAATGCAGTTTCAATAAGAGGGAGGACTCAGAGAACACGTGTGAAGCTGCTGTTACTTTCATGTAATCAGATATTTATGTTTACAGTGTAGTTTTGTCACACAGAGAATGGTAACATTGAGTATTTAGGTTAGGATTGAGGCAGGATTCAGTTGAACTCTAATGGATTTTAATCTTAATCTTTTATTTGATCAAGAATAACACGAGTGAAAGTGCCCCGCCCACGTTTTACAAGGCACTGCTTAGAATATTACATTACATTACATTTCATTTAAATTACGCTTTTATCCAAAGCGACTTACAATAAGTGCATTCGACCAAGAAGATACAAACTTGAAGAAAACAGAATCATATAAGTACATCAGGTTTCATAGAGCCAAAACATTTCAAGTGCTACTCAACTGGCTTTAGATAAGCCAGTCCTTTGTTAGTATATAAGAATACCTTCAAAAGCAATAAAAAACACAAACCTGAACATGGTTCTCTATACATTCCTGCTACATTATATATTTAGGGAAATAAGGACTATAATAAGGAATGTTCGCATTTGAGATTCAGAGTCTATTTTACAAGAGAGTCCCGGCAAAGACGGCAGCAAACACGAGAACAAGAGACTTAAAACAATACGGAAAAATACAATACTGCAGATCTGTACTGAACTGAACTGTCTCTCTGCCTCAGCACTCCTCAGGCTGTCTCACACCAGCTGAGCTCATGATGACAGGTAGCTGTTAGCACCAGGGGGGACTAGTCTCTTTGATTCCTTAATAGCCAGTTGTTCTTTTGAAGTGTAATTATATATGTTGGGTACTTTTACTTTTGGTACTTTAAGTATATCTTGATGCTAATACTTGTGTCCTTTTACTTGAGTAACCTTTTGAATGCAGGACTTAACAGAGTATTCCTACACTCTGGTACTACTACTTCTACTTAAGTAAAAGATCTGAGTACTTCTCACACCTCTGACTAACAACCAATATTGGGTACACCGGTAACAAAATGAGCTCAGTTAAATCTAATTAAAATAATAACATCAACTTCCCGTGCCCACTTGCACCACACTAACTACGCTAATGAGTCCGCCTGCTGGAGTTTCTGTGGAAGCACCGTGGAAAACCATTGTCACTGCTCTCAGGAAGAGTCCATGGTTTCCTGGAGTAGTTATTCAAATGGTAAACTCTTTTAATTCTAAATTCTCAAGAAGAGCTTAACTTTGCAGACCGAGAAAGACAGACCAATCATTAATAAGTGTCACTTAATAAAGCTATACAAAACTAATGTGAGGGGCAAATCATTTTCTGAAAAAAAAGACTTGTCTTAATGACAAGATTATTTTAGGAATTTGTGTTGTCAGTATTTAAGAGAATAAAATGTTTATTAATCAATCACATTAATAGTAAAAGCAGAGATAATTTTGCAGTAGCCTTTCCATTGGGGATGAATGTATGTTTTCTTGTCCCATTTGCACATATTTGTCAAAAAAAAAGTAAGTAATAAAAAGGACAGCATATCGTGAAAAACATATTCCCTGCACGTCTTTCCCATTGTTTGCTCTGTCTGCTCACGGTGCTGTGCAGGTTGGAGACGTTCACTGTATTGATGCGAGACTCTTTGGAAACATCGGGCGCTTCATCAACCACCTGTGTGAGCCCTCCCTGCTGGCGGTCCGTGTGTTCACCATGCACCAGGACCTGCGCTTCCCCAGGATCGCCTTCTTCTCCAGCTGCTCCATCAAGGCTGGAGACCAGATAGGGTGAGTGGTGGAGCAGCCTTCATTTTCCTCTCCAGCAACCATAGGTGTATTTTATACTGGGGACGCTGGGGACATGTCCCCAGCACTTTTAGAAACTGCTAATTTTGTCCCCATAACTCTGCATTAGGATCATGTGTTAAAATGTTCTGAAAAAAGTTGGAGAAAGGTTTATTTGCACAGTGAACATTTAAATCTGGAAAACTGTTCTCACTTTCCGGGTGTGTTTCTGAACCAGAGTGGACCAATATGATTCATATGAGGGAAAACCTCAAGAAGCATGCACTTTAATGAATAGCTAACAAATAGCGAGCCTACATTACTATATATTTTTGCCGGGGCCGCTGGTGTTTTTTTTCAATCTGAAAAAAGTGTCCCAACCACTTTTTCTAACGAAGTGCTAGCTATAAAGTTCCTTTGATGGATTGCTGTCTCTTCCTCACCAGGTTTGACTATGGCGATCACTACTGGAGGGTGAAGAGCAAGTACTTCAGCTGCCAGTGTGGCTCTCTCAAGTGTCGCCACTCCACCAGCAGCAGAGAATCTCACTGATGACCACTGACGTCCCCCCCTCAGCCTGGACTCATTCTGTTGGACCTCTTTAATGTCAGAAACACTGTCTTCTGAACCTGATACCACATAGGACTGTTGTTTTATTACTGTTCACCTAGATTCCCTGTTCAAAAGCAACACATGAGTAATAAAGCTTGTGGAAATGTGTCATCTCAGAGCACATGTTCCTACTTATTTACAGACCTAATGACACTTTTCTATAAGAACACTGCAGCTCAGCCAGAAATACTGTCTGTGAGAGTGGTTTTAACTAGCATTTTAAAAAGAAGGTTTTAACAGTCGTGAACTCTGAAAACTGCCAAGTGTTATACTGGTGGATTAATGAAGTAATGCAATGGTTTGATAGTCTGATCTCTTATGTAAACATGCTTTTTACTAAATGTCTAACTAGCAGTTAAACACATTTTTAAAGGATCTGTTTTATTTAATAATGAATTATAGTTGCCAATAGAAGAAGAGACGCAGCTTCTGTCGGGGGATGATGTCCTCTGAGTTGGCGTTGAGGAACAGAAACCTGATGACATTCGGTGTGAAGAAGTGTGTTGTCTTAAAAACTATTCAGCTGAAACATATATTGACACTAATGGACTCGAAAAAGGAACAACTTACTGACCCAAAGTACGCGATGTGTTTGTCAACATACTTTTGGCTGTAAATATAATAATTTTTCAGGTTACATTTTTTAATCCCTTTTCTCCTTTATTCTGGCCAAGGCAGGAAAACGGCTCCAGACCAAAGATCCCCTAAAGCAGGGGTTCCCAACCTTTTTTCCAAAGAGCCCCCCCAAATGACTCCTGTTTGAAGTTGCGGTAATTAAAGTTTAAAAGTCTCAAAAATGCTACAACTACTGTCACAAACTCTATGAA